AGGGGGGGGTTATGTGTGTGTGTGTTGTTGCTGTTTGTTGTTGTTAAATGGTCTCACGGTGTGTATTTTCTGTCCTTTTATTCATCAGTTAAGTAGAGTGAAAATTCATGAGTGGTTGGTGGGTGCTCTGGTGTGGTTTGCTTATACTTTCCTATCAAACATCTTATGTCCTTATCTCTCCTCTTTTTTGTGTCGGGCAAACAGATGGCATCTTTTCTCTTTACTGTCATTGTCTTTTGTCCGTCTCTTTTCCTTTCTGTATGTTCATTGAGAGTCCGATTTAACAAAAAAACAGGCCTACAAACACCCACAGTGTGTGCCCTGCCTTCAAAATAAGATCTGTGTATCTTGTAAGACTCGACAAATAAAGATTGTTATGTTTTTCTTATCATGAAGCCATCTTTACTGTTGTCCTGTTCTTTTGTTTCATGTAACGCTTAGCGTAACTAATCTTAGCAGTTGGTTATCGAGTGCTCTGGAGTTGTTTGCTCCTTCTTTCCTGTCAAACATCTATCGTCCTGATCTCTCCTCCTTCTTTTTATGTGTTTGTTACTCTTTTGTAACACCTCAAATCTTCTGCACTAATTTGACATTGTTGTGTTGCAAGTGGCGTAAACCTCTAACTATAACTAAAAACGTAACCTTAAGCTTATACAGAAACAAGAGAAGAAAAAAAATTACAAGTCGCCATTTCCGTCAAGTTTACCATGTCGTTTGTTATTTCATACAAATAAAAGCCATTGATATGGTTTTTTCTCCAATTACCTGCTGGAACAACAGAGAAACACAAAAAATGGAGATAATTTTTCGTGAAATTCCCACAATCAAGACTCAATCTATAAATTTGACGTGTCTATTTTCATAGGGCTGAAGTCCTAATCGTAACTTATTTTATCAGTGATGATGTGGCTGAAGAAAGCTCGCTGTACAGTCTTATCTCTGTCTGTGTTTCCCCACAGGTTTCGAGGCTGTGGGACCCCCAGGCCGGCTACTGGTCGACTTTGCTGTTGTTCTCTCTCAGATAGGTGAGGTCTTCTTAGATGTTAACAGACGCTGTTTGGTGTTGTTGTTTTTCTTCTTCTTCTTCTTTTTCTTCTTCGTCTTATTCTCCTCCTTCTTCTCCTCATTCTCCTTCTCCTCCTCCTCCTCCTCCTCCTCCTCCTCCTCCTCCTCCTCCTCCTCCTCCAAGCACTGATATCGAAATTGACTTGTAGTGGTAAAGGGGACTGAAATCTTGAAGTCTTAAAAATTATAGATTCAGTTGAATTGTGTTCCTCTACCTCCTCCTTATATGATATGCAATACACATGTAATTTTGGGGGGGAGGGGGGGGGGGGGCTGATGTCTCTTCCCAGGGCACTCCCTGCTGCTGACATGTGTCACTTATTTATATAACTTGTCCTTGCAATACGTACTGTTTTAAAAAATTTGTTTGGTTATAAAGGAATGGAAAGTTCTCAATGGACACAGCATGAGCAGTAGGTGGTTGGCGGGTGCTCTGGTGTGGTTTGCTAATTCTTTCCTGTCAAATATTTTTCTTCCTTATCTCTCCTCCTTCTTTTTTGTTTATGTGACTCTCTTGCAAAACTTTTAACCCTTGTCATTTATATCATCATCTTCTTTGCCTTATTCACCCTGGATCGGGATATAGGCCACGAACAAACACTTTCCACCTTTCCCTATCCTAGGCGAGTTGTTTCATGTCACTCCGTGTCTTCCCGCTTTTCTGTACATCCATTTCCGTGACTCTTCTCCAGGTTCCACGTGGTCTTCCCTGTGGGTTTCAATCTAACACTTTCCTTTTTATGCAGCTGCTTGACTTTCTGAAAGTGTTGTACCTTGTACTGTATTGTAAAGCGCTCAGAGCCTGTGTACTTTAATCGGGGCTGAGCGCTAGATAAATCACCTTTATTATTATTAAAGTGTGTCATCACTTATATGACCTAATTTTATTTCAAATGCAGTGAAACTCTTACTAAAATTAAACTTGAAAGGAAAGGAATGAAAAGCTTCCGAAAGATGCCGTGGCAAGATAAGCCTACAGGGGAAATGTTTCATGTGGCACAAGGTTGTTTGAGGTGTCTATCGTTGACTTGCATACATGTATAAATTTCTTTTTAGATGGGGATTTTTTCTCCTTTCTTTTTTGTTAAAATCTGATATAGTTGAATGCGAGGTTCACAGTATTCATAGATGTAATTTGATATTTCAGTTTGCTTTATCAATATTTTTTTGCTTATTTCTTTTGCCTAGGTTTCTGCTGTGCATACCTGATTTTTATCTGCAAGAATTTGTCAGACTTCGTTCCCTCTGTGAACATGTGAGTGATTTACTTATAGTCAAGTCAACTGAATTATTTTAGTATTCTGAGGAGCGTGATCCACATCATAGACCATTTGCCATCTAAGTCATAGAAAATATAGGGAAATATCAGAAGAACACACTACAGAAATAGCATTTTTAGTGAGTTGGCATTCCCCCCCTTCCCCCCCCCCCTCCCCCCCCCCCCCCCCAAAGTCTCAGGTACCTCATCTTTGTTACGTAACACACCGTGAGAATTTCACGGAAAATTATCTCCATTTTTTGTGTTTTTCTGTTGTTCCAGCAGGTAATTAGAGAAAAAAACCATATCAATAGCCTTTAGAAAATTTCCTACAACCTTTTGTCCAACAGTTTACGGGAGTATTGGTTCTCAAAATAAAAGACAAGAGACTCAAATTTCCAGTTGCAATGACAACCTTTCTCATTAGCTATCAGGTCTTCTGTGGTAATAATATAAATTGTAAAGAACATAGAGCTTGCTGTTAAGCGATAATTTTTGCTATACAAATGCTATCTGTCTTTATAATTATTACCATTACAGTAGTCTCCGCCTAAGATCCCACCACTTACGATCCTGGTTCGCTTAAGATCCCGTTGTTTTAAGAAAACAGAATTTTTACTGTACAAAAGTCACTCTTAAGATCCTGCTCTGATTCACTCTGAAGGTCTACATTCGGCTAAGATCCCGCATTTCAGATCATAATTTGAGGAACAAAAACCCGGGCGGGACAGCCGATCAATTTAGAGTGAAAAGTTGAGATTAAAAAAACTGTCCGTCCCTTCAAAGATCAGCCACTATCGTGAATGTGATCAAATACACGTTGTAAAACTCGGTGAAGCGATACAATGTTTGCCCCGGACCGGATCACACCGGGGTGTGAACTGACCGACACGTTTGATTTCCCCACGCATCGTACTCACACCTGAGCTCTCCCCCTAAACTTACATCACTCGCTGGGTGAGCAGGGCCTACATGTTCGCTCCAGGCGGGATCACATTGAACTGTGAACTCTTCCCTGACCATTGCAGAAGTTGTCTCTACTTCTGAATTTGCGAGACAGACTGAATTTTAATTGGTGTGTTCACAACGTAATGGTGTGTAACGACAAAGGCGGTTTGGGGGGGGGGGGGGAGAGGGAAACCCGGTCATTGAT